CAATCAACGCCTGAAGAGACGGATCAAGTGATTAAGTGTTGGACAAAAAGACAATGCAATCGACGGTCGATGGCGTAGAGGGCGTGGATGTGGGCTCCGGAGGGCCGAAGTTGTCACTCGTGGCCCAGTTTGACGACATGTGCCGATTCGGCAACTCATTGATTGCGGTCGACGAGCAGTGTATGGCTTATTAGATATGAGTCTTTTGTGTCCACTTTTGTTAATAACGTGTGTTTTTGTTGTCCTGATGTGTGTTCTGTAGCGCTGATGGATCTGTTGGCGAAGTGTGAGACGAATCGGTTGCGATGGCTGTCCACTCAACGCGAGTTAATGGATATGAAGAGCAAATGCCGCCAATTGGAGGAACAGAACCGAGAGTTGGTCTCAAACCTGAAACACGTGAGGTTTGGGTTCGGAAAAGAGGTGCAGAACAGAGAGGATCTGTTGAAGCAGAGGAATGCGTTGAGGAATCAGTTGAACGCCATTAAGGACTTTGTGCTCAAAGACTCGACCGCTACTCAAAGCCAAGAGACCAGAGATAAGGTGTTGTCTTATCTGAATCTAAACCATTTGGAGACAGTAAAGGAGGACACGAATGAGTCGATGGATGGTCTGGACTATGACGTGAGCGAAGACAACATATTGAGTGAATCGGTTCACAACAATAGATCCGTTCGTAACAAACGAAAGAGTACTGAATGTGATATGAATGCCGAAAGAGCCAAATATGCGAACCGAAGAGCGGACGATATCGGCGGCGACCGAATGGCACCGAAAGCCGTGTTCGACGACAACACTGACTTGGATTCGCCGACACTCGAAGGTCCGGCGCCGCGCACTTCACTCAATGTGAATCAAGTACTGGACGACAGGTATGCGGCCGTCTCTAAGAGCTCTCCACATATACCAAACTCGAGGCGACTCTTTGTTGAGAATCATCCGCAAAATCTTTCGCCCATTTTCTCGACCACTCCTTTGGAGGAAAGGAAACACAATTTGATTCAAAAGAAGGCTTTCAAACCGGCCTATTGTGGGCCCTGTCGTGAAGCCATTGGATTCTTTGGCACATTCATGTGCTGCGAAGACTGTCGAGTGATTTGTCACATCAAATGCAAGAGTCGACTACCGGTGCCGTGCATTCCGTTCCGTAAACCCAACGGAAAGAGTTCTCAAATGGTATTAATAGCGGACTTTGCACCGCAACAAACGCGGCCAATGATTCCGGCGCTCATTATTCACATTTGCAATGAAATCGAGAGAAGAGGTCTCGACGAGGAGGGGCTCTACAGAAAGTGTGGTTCCGATAAAGATATCCGCGAATTGAAAGAGAAATTACTGAAAGCGAAGACTGGAATGTTTGGCTTAATTTCATATGACGTTCACGTTCTCTGCGGTGTTCTTAAGCTCTTTCTCAAAGAATTAGACGAACCCATCGTAACACGAATTCTTTGGCGAGACTTTGTTCGCGCCTCAGGTCTGTTCCCATTTCATAGCACTTGTATTTCGACACTTTTCAAACTTTTATTCACTTTAAAACACAGATCAAGAAAATCCAGACGAAGAGAAGGCGTTGATTATGCAAACGGTTGAAGAGTTGCCCACAGCTAACAGAGACAGTCTGTCGTTTATAATGGTCCACTTGATGCGTGTGGCCAACTGTGACGGCAACCGTATGGACACCCGATCGTTGGCCAAAGTGTTTGGGCCGACAATTGTGGGCCATTCGATGATCGAACCGCCGATCACTGAAATATTAGCCGAAAATCCAAAACAAATCAAAGTAATGGAAGCGCTCTTTAGAATCCCCGAAGACTATTGGAATGGAGTGTTGACTTCAGTCAATTCATGGGAAACTAACAGATGTTAGAATAATTATACATTAATTGCTATTGAATTGACAGTAATTGTGTGTTTACTTATCTCTTTAGTCGGATCACCCGATAGGAGAGCGCAAAGTAACGGCCGTCTGATGGGAACCATTCAAAGAGGAACTCTAACACCCCTTCGGAGTACTTCTCAGTCAAGAGGAGCCCTTTCATTGAAACCTTTGTTTTAATTATTTTAATCAAATACTTAAAGAAGTCAACAGTTATTTATTTTACGCATATTTTAAACAATCCAAACATATTTGGAGTCAAATTCTTTAAATACTTATTAAACATTACTTAAAATATTATTCCAATTGATGTATTAAAAAATATAATTCAATTTGTATTATTTTATAATAAAAGTGATTATTTTTAAAACATTATTAGTATAAAACATTAAAAAGGTGAATTTTCCAAATCTGTCTCCAATTGATTAGTGAAAAATATTAGCTTTTAAATTGTTTTGGTTTATTGGCTATAAATTCTTAATAATAATTTGTAAATGAATAACATTTTACGTGTTGTGCCAACACTTAATGTGTTGTTAATATTTTTTACATTAATTTTTATAATTATGTGGTAATTGTTGCACTGAATTGAACTGCGATATCGATAAAGTATTTCAATTAATTTTCGTTCACTTTAAGACGTGATTCGCTAATGAAATTATAATTATTATATTTATTGCTTTTATATTGTAATTGTTTTGTCATTACATTTGTTCCCAATATTAATATTGTATTAAACGCTTTTCAAATAATTAACTTAACTTTAAGCTCATGTTATCAGTAAAATGTTATCATTTTGGTATTGGTATAGGACTTTAGTTCCCAACACTCCATAACCTTTAAATTAGTTTAATATTATTTCTTACTAAACGTCTTAATCTATTAAAACAATTATAACTTCAGTTTTTGGGCGTTTTTATACGGAATTGTCGTCAAAAGCGTAAATAATAGATAAAATAACAATTTTGTTGTTTTCATTCACTTTTATTACCATTTCATGACAAAAAGCTGATATAAAACTATGTTTTTTGAATTAATTTGCTAATTGATTGATAACGAGATTTACTGTATATAACAACTAGTTTAACAAATGGATACAAAATTTTTAGTGCTATAAAAAGGCTCTAATCAATGATAATTGTGAATCAAATTGTGATAAATATGTCTCAAATGATGGCTAAAGTGAACGAATTATTTGGTGAGAAAAGCGGACAAAAAATAAATTTAAACTCTAATCTCAGAAATGGAGACTTGAATACAAGTGTTTCTAGAAATAAAAGCCATGAGAACTATGAAATGCAAAGTTTGCTTAAATCTAACGCCAATAATAATTGCAATGAAAGCCGTCGCGAATCTGATTGTATTGAATCTCAACCCAAATCAACTAAAAAGTAAGTGTTTATAAAGTATATTAAATTTGACAATTAAATAGCAAATAAATATTCTGACTATAAGAGCGACAAATAAACAGATTCTGACGAATAAAGTCAGTTTCGAAGACAAGAATGGCATCCATAAAACGGTTGGTGATAATGACGGACAACCAAGAGATCCATCAAATGATCATCAAATTATTGAAGCCGTAAGTTTTAATTTATTAACTTTATGTTTAATTGTTATTAATGTTAAAATTTATTATAATTATCTAAATATTGTTAATTAATTAAAATTAAAAAATTTAATTAATTTATTTTTTAAAATACTAATTAGAAATAAATTTTTAGACATTAGTTTAATGAGTAAACAATAAAGTCTTTGATAATTTCAAACTATAGTAAAGATATTACATTTGAAAAATGAAAGAAAACAAATTTTTTGTAGAAAACAATTACATTCTTATCTAATAGTACAGAAGATATTAGTTATATAAATAAATGTTAAACTTAATGAACAAATAAGTTCAGTGTTTCTCTAAAAAGCGGTCATTTACAAAACACAAAAAGCCATGAGAACTATGAAATGCAAAGTTTGCTTAAATCTAACGCCAATAATAATTGCAATGAAAGCCGTCGCGAATCTGATTGTATTGAATCTCAACCCAAATCAACTAAAAAGTAAGTGTTTATTAAGTATATTAAATTTGACAATTAAATAGCAAATAAATATTCTGACTATAAGAGCGACAAATAAACAGATTCTGACGAATAAAGTCAGTTTCGAAGACAAGAATGGCATCCATAGAACGGTTGGTGATAATGACGGACAACCAAGAGATCCATCAAATGATCATCAAATTATTGAAGCCGTAAGTTTTTTTATTTATTAACTTAATGTTTAATTGTTATTAATGTTAACATTTATTATAATTATCTAAATATTGTTAATTAATTAAAATTAAAAAATTTAATTAATTAATTTTTTTAAATACTAATTAGAAATAAATTTTTAGACATTAGTTTAATGAGTAAACAATAAAGTCTTTGATAATTTAAAGTATAGTAAAGATATTACATTTGAAAAATGAAAGAAAACAAATTTTTTTGTAGAAAACAATTACATTCTTATCTAATAGTACAGAAGATATTAGTTATATAAATAAATGTTAAACTTAATGAACAAATAAGTTCAGTGTTTCTCTAAAAAGCGGTCATTTACAAAACACAATGAATTAGAAATGTGTAAACTTAATGTTTAATTAGTTTGTAATGTAATGACAGCTGCGGCAAGTGGTGCGGACGTGTACAGCACCCGACTCTTCTAAAAGACCCTCTGCTTCTGAAATCAATCATTTACTCAATGCATATCTCTGACGATCCGAAGTGATCAACAAAGTCACAGACACTGTCACTAAATACTCGATTTGTAAATCACCAAAAATGTTGATTTGCACAAAGAGTCGTTGGCCTTCTTTGCTTCAGACTAAACACTAATTGCATATTTGGTATCGACTGAGACATAGACAGGTAATTACCATCTTTCACATTACTCCTCTCTCTCTCTCTCTCTCTCTCTCTCTCTCTCTC